TTACACACATAAAAATAATTGCATATTAAATATTCACCTCTGAGCAAAGTTGAAAGTAACTACTTGCTGATTAAACTATAGGGCTATTATTTGTTAATTTGTCAAGTAAATCTACGCGTAACTTTACGCAGAGGTGAAAAGATCGGCCCTAAATATAATATGAAACCTTATAATTACTCTCTCTAACCCTCTAATATATTCTAACAACACAACTGGCCTCTTACACATTTCTTCAGTAACCAACATTTTGTTGACTGCAGAATTATATCTTATTAGAAAAAACATGATTAAAAAAGAAGCACTAATAATAATATTTTGTCAGGTTTAATGCTTAATCATAATACTAATACAAATACTAATAATAAGGGAGTATAAATAGACCCTTAAACCTAAAGTGTAACCATCTGATATATTTTCGATATTGTCAAAAATAAAGGTAGGTACTTTGCTCTTTAGAAAAATTATATTTTTTGACAAACCTCGTGTACGATTGATAAAAATTTTATATTAGACGGTTGTATTTTAGGTTTATTAATGGTGTCTGTTGAAACCTAATCATTTCAAATTTTTATTTGTCATTTTGAAGGGTAATTTATTAAACAACTTCATCAAGTCACGTGCAATTTGAGTTGTCTATTAGTAGATTCAAATATATTTACGCGTATTTTGACACCGAGTCACGATTGTAGATTCGTACCATGAAAAGACCTTTGAAAAGGTCAGTGCGAAATAAACCGTATCGAGAACCGGTAAACTTTAAATTTTTGATGCAAAACGTTCTTATCTGTAAAATTAGAATAAAAAACGTGTGGTAGCAAAAAAGCCTGGATCATCCCTTGGATACCGGAATTAAGGAGAGCTCTCACGTCACCCCTACATGTAATTTGGGTAAGTGATTTCGTCTCAATCGATTTTTTCTAAACCGTTTAATTTTTTTATTCGTTTTTTTTTTAACTATTATTTAATAGAACAATTTTGAAAGACATACAGTCTATTTTTCTCTGCCTACTGGTCAGGCTATCAACTGTTCCTACTTGCGGAAACGTACAGTGTCCTTCAAAGTAGATGTTGTAGTTAACTCAAATGCCCCCGAACGTCATTGAAGGGATCACAAACAACCATAAAGAAATGATACAAAACATGAAAGAAATAATAAAAGGGACATTCACAATAAAGAACACAAACAATTCAACGATCCTGTTTGTGGAGGAAGCAGAAGACTAGGATAGAATACTAAAGGGGAGGCTTGACCACAGGAACGGAAACTACTGATATTGAGGAAGATCTAGTGGAAAACTATGATATTAAACCACGGGAAATCTACACTATGACAACTAAGAACAGACCCTTATATCTCGTGATTACGGATCCATACCTAACACTAGACTTCCTCAATAAAAATGTTAAAGTTTTACAACACACAAGGATTGTGTGGGAGCTTCGTAGATCTGTGAAGCTTTTCATACAGTGTCACAGATGCCAACTTTGGGGGCACGCCAATAGTAACTGCGGGAGACCCTCAAAGTGTCTTAAATGCGCGGGTGATCACCTCACCAAAACTTTCCTAAAAACGAGAGAAATGCGCGAACTGCGGAGGTGATCACCCCGCTAATTACACAAAATGCCCTCAATATATTAAGGGCTGAGAACGCAAAAATCAGAACCAACCCAGAAAATACAACCAGGCGCCTGCGCCCAAAGTTAACATGTGGGACAGGAGATCGCAAACAAGATACCAAAACCGACACATCCATCGAGAAGAATTCCCTGAACTTCCAAGGAGAGGAGCATCCAGAAACGAAGAACATAGCCCCAGGTATCAACGTACCAGAACCAATAGCTCCCGAACCCCCAGAGAACGGTAACCTGGACGAATTTCAGAGTTTAAATAACGAGTTCGACGAACTTAACAGGTTAGTCAACATTTCAGTACTTTTAAGAGCGGTGAAAGATCTCAACGCACAATTACGGACTTGCCGTACACCAAAAGACATATTTGAAACCTATAGAAAATTTTATGACAACTTAAACTCTTACAATTTTAAAAACTGAACTAAACGGAAGGCACAAAGACAAATACAAAATTTGTTTTTATAATGCGAAGGGGTTGCACAACAAGCTTCTGCTTGTTGGCGGTTTTATTCACAATCAAATTCGACATAGTTTTGTTCACGGACACGCGGCTTAACGAGACGGACAAAGTAAAAATACGAGACTACAAAACTATAAGACTTGATAAGCCAGATAACAGCCGGGCAGGCGGGGGTGTAGCATTTATAGTACACAAAAACATAATCTTTAAACAAAGGAAAAATATAGAATCAATCAATGAACAACTTATGTCGGAGCATACAACAGACCCCTAAATAATATAAATTTAGTAGATTTACTTAGGTTCTTTTCATCGGGAAACAGGGTCGTCCTGCTTGGCGATCTTAACAGCAAACATCCCGAATGGGATGCGAACTGTAACAAACAAAACAATAGTGACAAGAGTACTGAAAGAATTCGCCGAAAACAACGACTTAATAATACATTACATGGACGAACCTACCTCTTTCCCAAGCACCCTCGACATTGCCGTTACTAAGAACATTCCAGACGTTCACAATATGAAAACCATCTCGACTTTAAGCTCAGACTATGATCCAGTATACATGGAGATAAGGGTAGCCAACAAACCCCAAAGAACGCAGGGCAGCTTCTACAACTACGGGAACACAGACTGGATCAGGTACAGACGGACTCTAGACACAAACATTACATTGACGAGACTCTCAACGAGACAAGAAATAGATGACAACGTAAATGCACTCACCACCGCAATAAAAACGGCAAGAGATTGTAGCACTAGGAAAATCCAGATCAAACCTAACAAAGACACACTCCCACAGGACATACCTGACCTCGTACGGACAAAAAACCATATAAGGAAGAGATGGCAGACATTTCACATCGTATTAACTCTCTAATTCAAGAACAAAGAAATATAAGATGGCAAAAGGTCCTGGAAGCGGTTAACCCTAAAGACAATTCGGTGTGGAGAATTGCGAAACATTTTAAAAAACCGAGTTCGCAATTCCCCAGTCTCAAAGCAGCAAATGTAATCCCAATCAAAAAAGGGAATATAAATCCCAAAGAAGTTGACAACCTATATCGCTTTTATCTGGCATATCTAAAATCATAGACAGAGTACTTCTGACACGACTACGTAACGTTGACAATGACAAACATATCATCCCGAAGGAACAGTACGGTTTCAGGGAGGGCCATAGTACAGTTGCTCAAATTCTCAATATAGCTCACCACGCCAAAAAGGTCTTTAATGATCACAAACAAACAGTTTTCATTATAAAAACCATTCAGTCGTACCTACAGAACTTTTAACATTAAAATCAATAACACTAGGACATGACCATACATAGCGGAGGCTGGGATACCCCAGGGTTTGGTATTATGTCCCCATTTGTACACCATCATAACCCATGACATCCCCATGGGACTTAATGGTGTACAAACGGCACTTTACGCCAACGACACCTGTGTTTTCAAGGCCTCAGATTCAGCCGAAATAGCCACAAGAAGACTGGACATTCATATAAACAGAACGTTGATCCCCTATCTGGATGAAAACAAAATGAAAATAAATCCAAACAAAACTGAGAACACACTCCTCTCCCTTCTAAACAAAGGGAAAATAATCGGAAAACTAAAAATCCAAAAAGCTACGATAGAACCGAAAAATACAATCAAATATTTAGGTTTTCACCTGGATAGGAGATTAACGTTCTACGCCCACATCAAGGATCGTATTGCAAAAAATAAGGGAATGATTAAAATCCTGTATCCTATGCTAAGCAGGAATAGTAAAGTTTCCAGAAACAATAAAACCATCATCTTTAAACAAATCCTTATGTCCATCCTGACGTATGGATGCCCAGTCTTTTATGGCTCAAATTCACTTTAAGAAACTTCAAGTCATCCAAAACTGGTGTCTGAGGCTAATCCTGGGGTGCGAAAGGTCAACTAGAATAACGGACTTACACGAAAATACAAACATACTTCCTATAAAGCAGTACATTCTCGAAACATCCGAAAAATTTTCCAAAAATTGTCTTTCTAATCAATTAAGGGAAGACATTTTCAATATAAAAGTCGGAAACCATGCGGATAGGAAGCATGTATGGCTGCACGAAGGACTCTCAATATACATAAACTAAATAAGATAATAACAAAGCAAAATAACAGGACAATCTTAGCATGTTAAGATTAGAAAATACACTATTCGTATAGACTGAACGATGGTGAGTGGGGCGTAGAATCGTAGAATGCCATTGGTAGACTCTGATTCTGCGGGCGGCCAATCACCGTCCGGTTTAGTTTAGTGTATACAATCCACCGAAAACTGAACGAACAAATATACACGTTAAAACCCTGTTTTTTCACCGCTCTTTGCATAAAAATCAAAATAGCCGAATAATACCACTTGGTAAGGAGTCGACTCGTTATACTCAAACTCTAAACATCTGAAGTCACAGAAAAGGCAGAACATCAGCCCTAAGCCCTCTTGGAACCCCAAGAGATTCAGTAAAGAAGATCTCTTTACTATATTTAGTTTTGTTATGTAGATGTAAATATGTATATATAATTGTTGAATAAATGTTTTAAAAGTAAAGTAAGTTAACTTTCATTCTCTTGCTACGCATTACTCCATAGTTTTTGGCTAAAGGTGCTGGACTGGCAGGAATATTAAAACTGCCATGCGAGTTGATTTTTTAAGAGCGAATAAAAATGTTTTTCATGAAGTATCTTCAAGCCTAATTATTATATTAGCTTGATACAAACCTTGCCGGTCAAATTTATAATGTAAATAAATGTTCTTTGTGTGATTTTTCATTACTTCACTTATCACTTTATTTTTAATACCGAATTTACAAAGAAATTAAACAGCAAATAAATTATACAGGGTGAAATAAAAAGTTGAATGGATAAGCACATACCTGTATCTTCCAGCGCTTTTGACCAAATGATAAGTATCGACCCCGTCGGCCGTCAACGTGATGTCATCCCCGTGGACACAAAATTCGCAATCGTATTTATCAAGAGTATCCAGACTGGTGACGTATGGAGCTCCCTCGACGACCTCGTCCACCCATTTTATACCTCGCACCATCTTGTAGCGCTCCTCGGCCGTAAACACCGGCGGGCCCTTGTGTCTCATGATCTCTTCGTCCGTGTGAATGCCCACGATGAGGTAGTCGCCCAGGGCTTTCGCCTGTCTGAGGGAATTTGCGTGGCCAAAATGTACCATGTCGTAGCTGAAACAAATATATTTCTGAAAAGCTTGTAGTTTTTCTAGGATGTATGTCTACAGTTCCGCCACAAGCTAAAATTTCATAAGATAATCGAGATTCTGCAAGTGAATAATATATGACATTTTTAATTGAGGTAGATCTAGAACAATTTAAAAATATTTAATTATGTGGTGATTTCATGGTAAGTTACAATTTATCGTTTAATAATAAACTTTATTTACTACAGTAAAAAACAAAACATCTGTTTACAATATAAATAGAAAATTTCGATAAATAAAGTTAAAATAGCCGATAAGTGCTTTTGCGCTTGTTTCGGTTTAACATACTAAAAATATTTAAAATATAACATAGTTTTTAAAAAATGAAACAAAACAGCAATATAATTTAAATAAAACAACGTGGACAGTATTTAAAAAAAACATAACTTATTAACAAGATAATAATATATACAAATAATAATATAATCGTAGTACAATATGAGTTTGAGGCAAGTAAGTACAGACAAAATAATGTACATATTTAGAATTGTATTATAATTTTACCATTAGCAGTACCTTCGGGGGTAGGATTAAGTTTTTATTATTATTATATCAAATTAATGTAATACTGCCTTTCCCTTTGTGTTATCGCTTCCTTTAAATATTTTTGTCCACGACTGTTCTATAAAACATTTATTATACTTGTACTTCCTTAAGAATAATAATACCTATTATTCACTAGTGAATAATGATCCATTAGTCACGGTATGACGTCACGACAGCACGTATGTCTAAACTGATATGAAAATATTCTTTATAGGTAATCGAAAAATCGAAAAAAAAAAAAAAAATCGAAAATCGAAAAAAAAAATCGAAAAAAAAAAATCGAAAAAAAAAATCGAAAAATTGAAAAAAAAAAAAAAAAACAAAAAATCGATAAAAACGAAAAATCTAAAAGTCGAAAAAACAACAGTTAGTTACCTATGTTTAATAAAAACTTTCCATTCTACACTTAACTTTTATTTAATAAAGTAACCATAATGGTCGTGGACAAAGTATAGTATTAGACTCGCAATTTATGGCCATTATTCACTCAGGTGGCTTGCGCCCCTCGCCTACGGCTCGGGACGCAAACGTCACCCTGCGTGAATAATGGCTACCATAAATTGCTCGTTTAATAATATACTATTAAATGTTATTTTGTTTTTAAGTAATTTTATATTTTCAGGAATAGCATTGTACATTTTAGTTCCAATATGATTTTTGCGATATGAACTTTTTTACTAGTGGGCGGGTATGAAGTATTCGATACCTAGTATTATATTTGTCATCTGGGTACGGTGCTTTATTATAATAAAATAGTTGTCGAATATCCATAATATGATTCATTGCATAAATCATTAGAGGGGTATCTTGAGGACTTTGACATAATTATTTTTAGAAATCGTTTTTGAAGTACTTCAAGTTGATTTATGTATACACGTGAGGCTGCCCCCCCCCCCCCCCCATACTGTAATTCCGTATCTGAGATGGCTTTCTACTAGTGCAAAATATAGGTTTTTAAAATCTTTGATGGGGAGGTACTGTTAAATACAGTCTGTTCGCTATACTATACTTTATGAGTATTTCCAGGTAAGCACCCGAAAGTTTGACCTGTTCTTTGGGGAAATATCAACTGGTTAAATGAAATGAAAAATAATGTACAACTTTTTAATTAAATAATAATGGAGAATCTTTTGTATAATTGAGAGCAGAATTAAACTTCTTCATTAATGGAGTCTAATGTGGCTATTATAAACCTAATAATAATTTTATATAACACTTCACACAGAAAATATGGTCTATGTATAATAAGAGGGTTATTTAGCTCAAATAAAATATTTTCTAACATAAAAATTTGTTCCATGTAGAGAATTTTAAATAAAAAATACAAAAATTGAACTTGCCAACAAAAATGAAAATCAGTCATTATCATCCAAAATATCATAATCGTCATCATCATCACTGTCATCACCACTAATTGTTATTATAATTGGATTTATTTCGTTTATTTTATTTTCACGAGTCCACCAATCTTCTATTAGTTTCTCGCACTTGGATATACAGTTCCGCCACACTTCTGGAGTTGCAATTGAAAGTGCTTTTTGCCAAGTTTCCCGAACTGCGTCGTCACTATAACCATTAGGTCCAATATGGTTGTCATAATATTGTTTTGCTATTCCCCATATATATTCGATGGGATTAAACTGGAAATGATACGGTGGCAGACGTAAAACTTGATGACCGTAACTTTCAATAATCTGATCCACAACAAAGGTTTTTGGTTTTGCGTGTATATTTGCCAAGCGTAATAATTCTGATTTTAATATACAGGGTAGCTGTTAAAGATGGAACCAAACCTATAGTGTTTAAACGGTTCAACACACAAAACCCAAAATTTCAGAATTTCAACTAAATATATTTGTGCATATTTTAGCCCAAAAATTATTTTTTTATAATTGCAAAATTTTAAGCATGGCCGCCATCTTGATTTTTTTAAATAGCAACATAGGTCATGTGATATACCATTTGAAAAGGTTTAACACCCTGATTACAAAAATGTATCACACATGTTATCGTGATAGTCACTGGATTTTGATTTAGATGAAAATATTAAATCAGCACCTTCTATAAAACCCGATTTCCCTCCTGCATGTAAAATTATGTATCGCTTCCCTTCTCCATCGGTATCTTTGGACTTTATGTTATCATCTTGCCATATTCTCTTGGTTGCACCCCTAGGAAATATCCATATTTCGTCTAAATATATAAAATTCGCCCCTTCTTCTTTAAATTTAGAATATTTTCTTAGAAAGTTAATTCTCTTGTGCACGACAGAACAAAGGGCCTTTCTGTTATCCTCCTTTTAAAATTTGAAACCCAAGTTATGTATCACTTGCCATAGACTTGTTCTGCCAGCCAATGTCGTCAAATTTTCTATCTATTAATTCTGAGAGAATTGTATTTAAGGTCACATGTTCCTTGTTGGACCTCATTCGATAAATGGTATCACGAATTTCAAATTTCTTTCCATCTGGAATATCTTTCGTTTTCAATGATGGGCGAGTTTTGCGGTGATCTTCTTTCGGCAGTTCACTATTGTGATTTTGTAATACTCCTCTTAATTTGGTTTCACTAATTCCTACAGCATCGCATACGCGTTGTTATACAGACATTACCGATTTTAAAGGACCGCCATTTTCTTTTTCATCCGTAAAATACTTATGTACACTGCAAATTAGACTATCTACATCTAACACACGTCTAGGCATTTTTAAAATTTCCACTAAATTTACAATATATATATACAATGTCAACACTTGCAAAGAATCAATTCAACTGCGATATTTGTAACAAATTTAGTACCTACCCTAATGTTATTTTAATTTAAATCTGACCATTGTGGCAATTTTACCTAATTTCTTGGGAAGAGGCTTATTGGAACTGGTTGTCAATGACTAATTTGCATAATTTTGTTAATCCGAAAACCGCGTAAGTATAGCGAACAGACTATGTTTAAATTTGTATACTATTTTTTTTTTTTAGTTTTTTGGTAACATAATGTATGTGATAATCCCATCTTAGATGCCTATCGAGGTGTATTCCTAAATATCTGATTTCTCTTGCTGATTGCATTGCGTAAGTCATGTCCTGAATTTCTATGTTGATGTGGTTCAGATCACTCAAACCAGACACATTACAACTTAAAAGGTAAACAATTTGTTTGGTCCTGATTCATAGTTAAAAGTTTACAGCCGAACCAATCTTTTATTATTTTGACAGCATCTTCATAGAAAATTGCAGTGTCATCCGCATATCCTATTATGTCTCCTGCTGAATTTAAACTAAATAGTCCATTAATATATAAATTAAAAAGTATCGGACCTAAAACAGTACCTTGTGGCACACCATATTTGTTTCTTGGCTTAATTTATTTTCCACTCTTAACACTTGTTTTCTTTCACTTAGGTAACTTTTAAAAAGTTTGAATATGTGTCCCCTTACTCCTGTATCTTCTAAGGTTTGGAGTAATAATGTGTGACTGACAGTGTCGAAAGCTTTGCTTAAGTCAATAAGTAGACATAAGCATGGTCTGCTATTTTCGATAGATCCATGAATTTTTTTAGGGAGTTCAAGAACAGCATCTACAGTTGAGGTTTTTCTTTAAAGCCGTATTGTCTTGCTGACAACATGACATTCTATTTTTTTATTAATTTCTAAATACCTTTGATAGATAACTAATCAATGATATGGGTCTGTAATTATTTACAGATGCTTTGTCACCATTTTGTGGACTGGTATTACAATAGAGTTTTTAAAAGCGTCAGGCCACAATCCCTCATTAATACATTTATTTATTATCCATGTAAATGGTGACGATATATGATTTGCAACTTTTTTTAAAAATTCTGCTCCAATGTCATCATGTCCAGGTGATTTATTATTTTTGAGGTCACAGAATAGGTTAAATATTTCTTTGGTGTCAGTAGGAACTAATAACATTGAATTTGGTAGAATTTTGGATTTAATTTGATAGTTAGGGTTATTCTGAATTTGTTCCGTTAACTTTTTTCCAAAACTACTAAATTTATTATTAAATTCATGATCTATTTCAAGTGTCCGTTGTCGTTTGCAATAGGGTTAATCTTAAATTTTGTTGGTTTTCCCCCGCACAACTTTTTCACCGTGTCCCACAAATATTTACTGTTATTTTTGTTTGTTTGTTTTTTATAGTATTTTTAAGATCCAAGAATACTCCGATTGCCGGTTTCGTATGTTCAACAGCATTTTCCTGTATGAAAACCGAACTGGTTGGGTGACAAAATTTGTTTGCTAATCAGAAATGATTCAAGCCTAAATTTTATAATTTTTTCAAATAGTTTTGCAAAACTATTCATTCATGAGATCAGCCTATAGTTTGAAGGCAGACTTTTATCACTTTTTTTGTGAAGAAATTTTATGATAGCGACCTTGACTTCAGTTGGG